AAACGTCATAAGGGCCGGCGCTTCGCCATAATAATAATAATAATAATAATAATAATAATAATAATAATGTGTCAGCTGTACGCCGTAACGGCGCTTCGCTGCCGCGCGACCACCACCAGTCGCGCGCGGGCTGAGTATACCGCGAGGACGCCCACCCCTACACGGATTCGAACCGGTGACCTTATGGTTGCAAAGCAAATGTGCAGACCACTCGGCCACCGGCCGAGTGTGTGTGTGTCCAACCAAAATGGCTCATCATCGTTGGGACCCTAGCCCGAAGTGGGGATGCATCAACCAACTCTAACTTCGAAATAAAGGGTTTCATTCCTTTCGACCAAGTCATCGCTTGGTCTCCCCTTCTCTTCTTCCACCCAGACCCCAGACGCGCAAATAACGCACGTCGCGGGAGTCAGGATGCTGGCTTTTCCGAATCCGAACCATCTGTTCTGCTTCGTTCGGCTTCGGAAAAGCTACTTATTCGTGACTGTGAGAGTAACAAATGTGTCACACACAAAGGTGATCGAATATGGTGGCGTGGTCAGAATCGGGTTCACCTATTATAAGATTCTTTAGAAGTGTTATAGAAGACCATACTACTATCGGACTGGCCAACCTAGTGTATTTGGACAGTTGTGACTGCCGAGTAACTGACAAAGTTATCATATCTCTCGGAGTAAAACGCTTCTTTGTCCGGTTAATTTAATCACCTTAACTTCAATCAATTAAGCCAAATATGATCAGGACCCCAAAGTTTTACGCCTTAGAGCTGCAGTGAGCCGCGTCGTCAGGATAAAAGCAACTAAAAACGGTGGGAGAAAACAAGGAGCAAAATACAAACGAATAATTAAAATGGAGATAGAAGAAATCTCAGTCATCATACGGTTAGGTTAACAGCTACAAGCAATGGACTGGATGCGAAAGTGCCGTTTTCCATCAATGTTAATCATGAGTTTGTCTAGTGTGGGTCCCTGTAGTGCAAATCGTAGAGCTCATGACATTAGGCCACCGCAGTTTATGAGACAACAGCTGTGCCATCTGAATGAAAAATGAAAGTACTATCAAGGCCCCTTACAATCAAACCTGGAATGCTGCAGTTGCTCACATTCGCGAGAACATAAGTCGTCCAGTGCAATTTACATGAAGCAATCCAATATGGATGAGAGACTAGAATCATACATGTGCCGAGAACATAAGTGTCGTCAGCTGTCTAGGTTCCACTTTACGCAGTGTCACCCAGCTTGCGTCTCTGCGTAACACCCGTTATACTGCTTGCAGCAGCAACCGGGTAACAGTTCAAATTGAGTAGATTAAGAAGAGCATGTGGTTGAGTGTCCGGTAATGAAGAGGGAAATTAGGAAATGAACGAAGTTTGCTTCAGCGATACAAGTTCGTCGGTGCATTATAAAAGGTTGTACATCAAAGCATTCCGTGTGGGTTTTTGCGTGCATCTTCTGACAACAGACAAGAGTAAAACGGTTCCGCAACAGCAACACTCCATATTCAGTTCAATCGGATCGATTAGGCTAAGTATGGATGATCTGCATTCGAAAAAGGCGCATGCAACCGATATAGAATTCTAGTTGTCCCACGAAAGTTTTAGAAAACATAGACTCATAAAAGAATGGGTTTTCATTCACTCAGAAAATCATATAAAAGATTCGGGCTCTGACATCCACAGTAACTGTAACCGGAGCACGGTATCGTTGTCTTGTACCTCACTACTGGTGTGGAGTGAGATGAGGAAGCCATTATGCGCTTATATACAGCCCAGAGAAACTAACTATCATGGTTTTGGAACATCAGTAGTCTAGTTAACATATGGCGTCCCATCACACAGTTTAAGAATTGAACCCCGGCGTCATGGTCAGATGTGTGAGAGAAAGGTTCTGATATCGATAAAGGAGAAGCCAAGATGAAAACAAGCGAAAGACAAGACTGTCATTCCGTAGCCTTGAGGATCAGTTAGTAAGGGGCAACTATATGGTTGGTGGCATCCGGTTTCGGATTTGCCTGTCACTGTGGCAAGCCACAGGACGCCTGCGCCTATAGAGGGACCATGGGTGGCTTGCGCTGCACCACCCACAGCTCCATCTACACACCCGATATCCAGTGTAAACCCGAAGGAATAAGACCGGGAGGCATGCGGATGGGAGCCACGTTTCATCAACGGAGCCGGCCCACACTCCTTCACAGGTAAACACAAGCGCGCTCTATTTGGGGAATCAACCGCACACAAGGCAGTGGCTGGACCGTAGTCCGCTCCATAGTGAGGGCATGGAACCACTCTTCGAGCCTAACACGGCCACAAGGACCGTGCACCATGTCCCCTCCAGCAACGACCAACTGTCTCCTGGAGCCAGATAGACGAGGTAGTGGGTAATAGACAGGCAGGCACCTTGTCAACATGCACATCAAGCGCAGCCACACCTGGGATGTCACTTGAGAGAGAGAGAGAGAGAGAGAGATGAAGAAAATAACTCGATTAATGCATAAGGAAACGGTGACATAAACCTTAAGTTAATGAGCATACGAAATAAGTTGTTTACAAACGAATCCGCGATAAGTTCAAGAGGTCAGAAAGTATACTTTCCGGAAAGCCACGAACACAGAAATGCTACGGAAATCGAACACAACTGGCTTAAGCGAGGTGTGCAAGTTAATGGAATAGAGTACAGGTAGACATTTATAGGAGAAAGAAAAGCATGTAGGCAAAATTGAAAACCCACCACCTGTAATAAAGAGACTTAGCATGCAAGCACGCGGTTTGTAAATCGAATGCAGCGTACCTACAAATGCTGCGCCGGTTCTGCCTACGTTCTCTGCAGGACCCGTCCTCGCTTCGGTAGTAGTCCCGAGTGGCCTCGCTCATGGCTCACTAAGCCTGCCTGACTCAGGCACTCGCGACTGCATGTGCTATAGCACCATGCGCTTGATGTCGATGGAGAACAACCCATCGGTGCTTGCCGCTTCCGTACTTGCCACTCCTTCTTTGCATGCATGAGGGCTTTCTCCTGCACCTCGGCAACTGCCTTCGTGATCAGATCGCGCCATGCACGTCGATCAACCGCCTTCAATTTCCATGACCTGCAATCAAGATTAGAACGTGTGAGGCTCACTTTAATCATGTCCTGGTAACGTAACTTTGGGTTCCTCACGTGCCGCTTTCCAGTACTCAGCTGACCGTAAAAAAGTTGTTTCGGTATCCGCGCCGAATCCATACGGCTCACATGACCGAGCCATCTCAGGTGTCTCAATAAAAGTATGCCGTCCACTGCATACATCCCACTTCGGCGCAACACTTCCGTGCCTGCGACTCTGGCACCCCAACCGATCCGCAAAATTCGTCGCAGACACAGCTGATGGAACCGCTCGAGTTATCGCACATCCCGACGGTACATCGTCCATGTTTCACTGCCGTATAGAAGAACAGACAGCACCATGGATTTGTAGACCATCAGCTTCGTGCCAACGGTAAGCTGATGGTTGTTCCACACTCGGTACTCAAACTTCCCGAATGCCGCCGCTGCCTTCGACACGCGAATACGCAACTCAACGTGTAGCTGCTGATCAGTCGACATCACACTCCCAAGGTAGCAAAAGCGGGAGGTGGTTTCCAATACTTCAGCACCTATGCTGATTCGCGCAAATATTGAAGATTGCACCTCCGGTGAAGGCTGAAAGAGACAGACAGTTTTGCTTGTGTTGATGGTGAGCCCGAATTTGGCCGCTGTCGAAGCCAGAGCATTAGTCATGTGCTGCAACTCATCCGCGCTGTGGGCAAACAACGCACAGTAGTCAGTAAACAGTAACATACGGATAGTTGTCTCACAGACTAGAGTTCTCGCACCGAAACGATGGATGTTCAGCAACCCACCATCAATACGGTGCTCCACACGAACACCGTAAGCACAAGCCGCGTCAAAAGCACAAGACATTATGGCATGAATATATATATTAAACAGGGCAGGAGCTAAGACACAGCCTTGCTTCACACCGGAGACAACTGCAAAGTCATCCGAGGTCTCTCCACTCAGCTGCACCCTCGCTCGCATATCACTGTGAAGACATTCAATTAAACTTACAAACTTACGCGGGCAACCAAACTTACCCAACACCAGCCACAATGCCTCGCGGTTCACCGTATCAAGTGCCTTGGTGAAATCAACTAAAAGCGTGTATAATGGCTGGTGTCGTTCTCTGCACTTCCCCTGCAACTGCCGAGCCGCAAACACCATATCTATAGTCCTGCGACCCGAACGGAATCCACACTGCTCTTCCGCAACGTTAGGTTCCACAACCTGACTGACGAGGCGGTTGAGCAGGATTCGGGCAATCACCTTGCCCACACAACTCAGCAAGTTGATGCCACGATAATTCGTGCAACATTGTTTGCTACCTTTGCCCTTGTACAGTGGTAGCACAAGGGCATCCTTCAGCTCAAGAGGCACCTCCTCCGCAATCCATACGTGTTGCACCAAGTGGTGCAGCGCAGTCTATATATATATATATATATATATATATATATATATATATATATATATATATATATATATATATATATGAAGACCAACTCTAACGAAACACTGGTGTTGGATTACAAGCAGCACCTAAAAACAACAAAAATTTTTGATTGCGCTGATGAAGCATCATTCGCCAAGCGTGAATGTTTGCTGTGAAAAGCAAGCCATAGTGGCTGATACAATGCAATTCCGGTAAAAGACGTCACCCATATAAAAATGCATTTTAAAATAAATTGCCACATGCAATCGAGTCTGTGAAACAGTTGCAGTGGAACAGGAAAGGACTGGCTGAAAAAATCGTATCTTCGGAGTTAATTGCGAGACAAGGAATGAATGCAAATCATCCAAAAGAGCCACCAATCGACTGCAGCTGTTGATAAGTGTACAATCAGTGGCGTGACCAGCATCTGTCCGCATGACCGTTGCATTGCAAACAGCCGGATGTAGCACAAACTTCGCATGGGGAAAGTATACAAGATGTTAGGAAATCTGAGACCCAATAAGTATGCAGTAAAGACTAACGAAAAAGTGACGCTTTATCTCACCTACCTGTGTTGGCTTTGTTTTAGGTTCCCCGACGCTGGAGAGCTGGGGCACAAGGCTCACGTGAGCACAGCAAAAGTTTGTGTTGCCAACGCGGAACAGCATCTGCCGAAAGGCTTCTACAAAAGGCATCGACTCTATATCGCCGATTGTTCCGCCCAGCTCTATAATGCAAACCTCTGGTACTGTGCCATTGTCGTTCACGGGAATTACAGAAACATCGGTCACCCATTGCATGATAGCATCAGTGATGTGGGGAACCACCTGAGGAAACCGAAATATTTAAGGAAATTAGAAGAATGAAACATACAAGAGGAGCAAATGGGATTGGGTTAGCATAACTAAAAGCAACAAATTCGGGCAATATATCCTAGTTTCCCAGTCTAGCCTAGCTCTGAAGGAGATAATCGGTAACCCGATGTCCATAGTTTCAAACTTTGATCCAGTAAACTTAACGAAGGGTAGGAAAATGGTGCTGAAAGAAAAGGAAGCAACATAGATAGGCTTCTACATCTGACTCCGAGTAGCACACATGCGACAGGTCTCATCGATAAGAAAGCGAATTTCAAGCTACCATAACTCTTGCTTGGTTAATCAATTACAATCACATGAGAGGATCGCGAAGATTTAAGTCGCCGTGAAACAAGCCGATGGTTAGCTTTAATAATGGAAAATGCAATAAAACGGTGGCGGGACATCAAGAAAGAGATAAAGAAACAATAAGTAGACATACAGGCTGGCAGCGAGAAATTCCAAACATAAGATAGAAGACAGCACCACCGTTATATGCGCTATTAAGGGTGAGAAACAACTCGCCCATTGTGCAACAACAAATTAAACCAGGCTACAGCAAAATGGAATAAAGAAGTAAAAGAATATTGTTATGTCTAGCTTTATGTCATGCAGGGACGTCGAGATTAGGGTTCGAAAGTGAGGCTAAGCGGGGGGGGGAATGGACAAAGAAACCCACAACACCAACGCCACTGAGGTCAGTTTTTAGGCATGTCGACAAGTGTTTGCAACTAAACGTTTTCATTATCTTTTGAAACCCAAACAGGAATTCGAAGCTGCAACCGACGCCCAGTTCGAAGTAGAGGACTTCATTCCTCTTGACCAAGCCATCCGTCTTCCATCATCTGCAGTATAAACAGGGCGCCGAACACGCTCATTGCTCACGCGATGTTCCCAGCAGATTTGAGCTAAACTGTGAAGTCACCGGTGGTAGAACCTAACTAGTGTCTTTTCGTCTATCAATCTGATGGGCCAGCATTCACAAACGTACAGGAGGGTCGAACGTAAGGCTACATCGTTGACTCCACTCTGTAAGGTGTGATGTCGCACCCGCACCCCAAGTAGAGAAGATTAGCGAAAGCGCCTCGTGCTTTTGCTATACGGTTTGTGACCTCGACTACAATTCGAATGGTGCTGATAAAACCGTCTAGGTAGACGAACCTCTGAACGACTTCTAGCTGATCTCCACCAAGAGCCAGCGCAAAGCGCCTCCCATGTCAATTCTGGAGGAAAGATTTGCATTTGGAGGGTGCAACACAAAACGGCTGACAATCAGTGCTAGTCAAATGAGTGCAAGTTGACACCTCTGTGAAATGTCATAAAGGAGAGCATTATCGTCCACACATTTCAAGTCAAGAAATTGACCACGTGAGGGTAGCTTCACACCTAAGTCGTGTTCATTGAAGCAGTTTCCATGACCTGGTTAATCGCGAAGTTAAAAAGAGTGGTGACAGCGGGCAACCCTTTCTCACACCGTTGGCAATATTGGCGGCAGCGATAGTATGCGCCATAACCTCTTCCTTTGCCAGAGCTACGCGCATAAAGCACTCTGATAAGTTTATGTACTTCCCAAGCACACCTATCGTGAGCAAATAGCGCCAAGGAGCACACCGATCCATCATCATCATCATCATCATCATCATCAACAGTAGTACATCAGCCATTTGAACTGATGCTTCGCTGCCATACAACCATGAGGACCTATGAAATAAAGAATAAGAAGAGGGAGAGGAGGGGGACTTACCTGAAAACCTTAATGCCCTAAGCAAACATTCAGGGTCAAGGCGCCTACACCTTGTGTACACAACATTCCGTCACAAACAGCTGGCTATCGTGCAAAGATAAGGCGGCATCGGCGAGACAGCTTCCTTACGGCTTTCACTGCCACGCGTCATAATCAGCCATTACCCAGCAGATAACTCAGCACCAAACACACTTTAAACAGACAATCCAATTAGGAGACGGCAGCAGACGCGCCACTGGTGTCGGTTGCGAGCCATGTCCCGTAAAGTCTCGAGCCAAGCACAAGGTGAGTCACGTGGGCTCCAACCCGGAAGGCGAGACGGACCAACGGCACCCAGTTTGGTCGTCAGTGACTTCATTTCCCGCTGCCAAGTCAACTTCTGTCCACCTCGAGCCTTGCGCCATCCGACACCTGGTAGACTGAACAAGGCCCTCCTAGGTAAGCGGTGACCAGGCATGCGTAGCACGTGCCCGAGCCAACGTAACTTATTCAGTGCTATCTGTTGTTCTAGCGAGCTAGCATGATCATCACCACCTAGTACTCGCCTACGCACATCGTCGTTGCGGACACGCTGGTGCCATCCGACACCAGCAATGCTTCGCAAACAACGATGATCAAAGACTTGAAGGCGCCTCAGATCTTCAGACCGAAGGGGCCAAGTCTCACTACCATAGAGCAGAACGGCCCTCACTGTGGCCTTGTATACACGGCCTTTCAGACGAAGGAAAACTCCCTTCTGTCGCCAAAGATGACGCAGGTTCAAGAAGGTAGCTCTGGCCTTTGCAATGCGTGAGCTCACGTCAGTTTCTATGCGCCCATCTTTGCTGATGCAGCTGCCAAGATAAATGAATTGATCAACCATCTCGAGTTCCTCGTTAGCAAGCGTCAAGGGGTCATCGAGTGGCTGGTGGTCCTGCAGCAACACTTTGCACTTTGAAGGTGCGAAGTGCATACCAAATAATGGGACCACTCTGGATAGACTATTCAGGGTTGATTGTGCCGCCTCAACATTGTCGAAAAGCAAGACGATATCGTCCGCATAATCTAGATCAACTAACCGTTCACCAGGCAGCACTTCAACACCTACATCGTGAGATTCCGCAAGGGAACACTCCATGATAGAATCCACGACGAAATTGAACAAAAATGGGGAAATCGGACAACCCTGTCGAACGCCACTTGTAGTCGAAAAGCTATCCGATAGGGCACCATAGACCCTGACGCGGCCTCTAGTGTTCGAGTATAGAGCACGAAGGATGTTCACATATTTCGTGGGAACACCTTTTCGCGCAAGTATTTCGAACAGAATCGATCGATCGACTGAATCGAACGCACTCTTGAAATCGAGGAACACAGCTATTGTCGGTCTGCGGTATGCGTGGCGCTGCTCTAGCACCTGCCGCAAAGTGAATATATGGTCTATACAGCCACGTCCTGGGCGAAAACCGGCCTGCTCTTCTCTAATCCGAGATTCCCGTTCTGCAGTGAGACGACGAACGATAATCGAGGCCAGTAATTTTGTCACAACTGGCGTTAGGCTAATACCCCTGTGGTTCGCACAGTCTGTGCGACTGCCCTTCTTGTATATTGCCACTATAATCGATTCGCTCCAATTAGCCGGCACACTCTCTTCGTTCCAGATACGTTCGAATAGGGAGGTAAGTGCTTTGCAGAGGACCTCACCTCCATCCTTAAATAGTGCAGGTGGTAGGGAATCCGGGCCAGCGGCACGAAAACGATTGAGGGCTGTGATCGCGTTTCGGACCTCGGCCTCCGACGGAGGCTCTAAACTAACCGTCCATGGCTCGTCCTGCATCACCTGAGTAGGAAGAGGTCCGGGAGCAGGGGGCCAGCTGAACTGATGTTCAAAGTGCTCAGCCCAACGAGCCATACGGCGCTCATTATTGTGTATCAGCGCACCCGCGCTGTCCCTGATTGTCTCACTGACGCCTGGTTTCCTCGGACCAGTGGTGCGGATTAGCTGGAAGAGCTTCCGGTAATTGCCTACTGCTCCTGCCTCCTCCATTTCTTGAGCCCGACTGGTCCACCAGGCTTCCTTGTCAGCACGTAGGCTCCGCTTTAGTTCACGCCTAATAGCCCGTCTGGTCACATTGTGTTCAGAACCAGCCGGGAGGTGCCTTCTAGCTTCCAAAAGGTTCACGGACCTCTCGGATATCCAGTGACTGGTGCGATGACGACTGATAGTGCCACAAGCAGATGCTCCTGCGTCGTGCATAGCGGCCGAGATCCTATTCCACTGAAGTTCAGTGTCATTAGGACAAGACAGCGAGAGTTCGCTATGCAGTGCTTCTTGATAGGATTGCCTGACCGAGGGCTGGGACAATTTCTCCGTCGCCAATCGGGGGAGACGCTTTGTGCGCCTTCCGGTAAAGTTCATGGAGAAACGACAGCGCACCAAGGCATGGTCAGAGTCGACACAGGTACTCCAGTATGAGCGGCAATCCAGAATGGAACCGCGCCACCTGTAACTTATGGCTATGTGGTCAATTTGGGTCCATCGCTGACCAGCTACAGGTGGACGCCAAGTGGCACTTCGGCGCCCACTGTGTCTAAAAGCAGTGCTAGTAAGAAACAACTGGTGCTCCGCACACAGTTGTAGCAGACGCTCGCCGTTGTCAGTCCGTTCGGAGTTAAGTCCATACTTACCACCCAGCTGAGCTTCTGAAGAGCTCAGACGCCCTACTTGTGCGTTCATATCCCCTGCAAGTACTACAATATCTGAACTAGTAGCACTGCGTAGCAGCGTGTTCAGTTCGTGATAGAAAGTGTCCTTGACTGCATTAGAACTGCAGTCCGTGGGAGCATAAGCAGAAATCACAAACAAACAGCGTTTTGTTTTACTTCGCGAATTCACCTTAGCTGATGTAGTCAAACGGGCTGCACATAAACGGCTGTTCACCGGAATCCAATCAACCAACGATGACTCAGCCTTGGAGCTGAGAATGATACCTACACCAGCTTGACCCGTGAGTGCCGCATCGGCGTCTCCGGATGCGTGCAACCAATAACGAGAGGATAAGCCGGGTGCAGTCAATTCAATAACCCCGTTAGGGTCATTAATCCTAGTTTCGGACACACAACACACATCAACACCCAGTGTGTTTAAGGTGCGTGCGAGTGCAGCCTGCTGACCTGTTTGTCTTAGAGTGCGGACGTTGAATGTCGCCATGGTAACGGGACAGCGTGGCCTTATAAGGAACTTTTGCCGATAGGCGTCCGATAGGTGCTGTGGGATGGTGGCTGCAGATGGTTCTACTCCAGTAGCACGTCGGTTGCTGTCAATTAAGCTGGGAATTATAGAAGGAGGGTTAGTAATGGGGGCCTGGATGGGAGTAAGAGAAAAAGGTGGAAAAGAAAGAAGGGAGGCGCCAGCAGTAGCATGCTTTCGCTTATCCGCCCTGCTGTATGCAGCAGATAAGGCGACCCTTGATAATCTGCGCGACGGCCGATGCAGGATGAAATTTATGTTTGAAGAAAATGTCATGGTTGTATGTGGGCTGGGATACTGCCAGGGCGCCCAGACCTAGACAGGAGAACGATTAGGGTCCTCATCCAAAGCCTTTGGCTCAAAAGCCTGTCCGCAAGGCAGCGGGGAGGTGGCAATGATTTAGTTTTACAGAAATGGACGCCATCCCATTTCAAACCCCCAACCTGGAGGACCAGGAGACTGAGTTTGTCTGACCTCTCACCATTGACCAACCTGGTAGGAGTAGCTCTCGAGATGCTCGGAGGCATCACCCAGTATAGCTCAATGGGTCAATGAGGTACGCAAACCGTCGCACCACGTTAAGGTCCAGTCTCGTTGCGACGGGCACACCGATCCAGCGAATGGAAGACACATTTGATGTCGATAAACACAATATAAGAATGCCATTGGAGTTGCAACTGCCCAATGTCAGAAAGAGTAGCCCATGCTGTGATCGGTCGAGTAGAACAAATCTAAGGACAGGACGCGTAGCTGTCCCAGTATCGTCAGAACGCAGTGACTGTCTCATACATACGGTGACACTAGCTGAGGTGCACTGTTGCAAACTCTAATCTCAACCAATGACGCCCGTCATAGATAATTTAAGCTTCTAAAAACCCACAAGGGCTAAATGATCCGCATAGCAGCCTCTGGTGATGGGTAGTACAGTAGTTTAAGTAGGTAAAGTAATCCAATAATTCAAACAATTGTTCCGTAACGACAAGAACAGAAGAGCACCTTGGCGGAAGCAGCGTTTAAGGGGTCTAAAAGAGGGATACAATGAATAGAGAGATGTGCAATCCAGTTTCATTGTGATAACCAAAAGAAAGCAGCTCTGAAAATTCAAATCTCACTCTCATTACGGTATTAAAACACAATGGGCAGGCAGTGCGCTGCAACGAAGTTTCCAAGGAAAGTTGTATATATGTAGCCAAAAGCACTGCAAAGACGTTTGTGTACATGGAGGTCTATGAGTCCAATGAAGATGATCACAAAAAGGCGAGCCAGTAAACGATATGGGCTACCTGGCAGAATGGGGCATACCTGAACCGTTTTGCCCAGATAATCTCCTCTGCGCTCTCTCTCCATTACTCGTTGATAAATTTTTCCGGTGGTTATATTATTGTCCTTTGTCAAGGTAACATCAAGAAAACGTTCGTAGTTTCCGAGGTCAAGGTCAACTTCACTTCCATCATCCAACACGTAGACCTCGCCGTGCTCATAAGGTGAAAAGGTTCCGGCATCGATGTTTAGATATGGGTCAATTTTGATACAAGTAACGTTCCAGCCATAGGCCTTCAATATAGTTCCAATGCTGCTAGATATGATTCCTTTGCCGATACCGCTAATCACACCCCCGGTGATTAAAAGGTATTTCATGAAGCAAGAAAGGTGAACAGGAGCTAGTGGAAGGAATAAAAAAGGGATACCTGGGTATAACAGACAGCTGCATGAAGTTAAGACACAAGTGTCTGGCAAGAACTGGACGAGAAGACAACGGTAATAGTCTAGTGCAGTTTAGTTAAACGGCCATGATCCGAGCCCCGAGTCTCAAAGTGGAAATCTCCAAGATCACTCTTCGCACTCACCCAGAACATACTGTACCGTTCCCTATAAGAACCGACATAGTAGGCATCGTGGCCAGTGCGTTCCTCCAACAGCTCATCGATCAACAACAGATACCACAGGGTTTCTTTACAATACGTTCACACCTTGCCGGGTCACGATATAGCATCCTCGGTAGGAGATCGGTCGTGATCAACCCAGGTGTCAGGCATCTTCCCCATTATCTGGAAAGTCAACATTTTACTGGTTACACGGATCACTTGAACTACGCAATCGATGGTACAGTAATTACTCGCAGCAAGAAATTCGGCAAATAGACTACGTATATCAGTACACGACAAACGTTAGACATGTCTCATGCGCTCAAAAGTGTCGCGGACGTCTAGGAATTAACTAGATCGGCCTAGCATAGGAAAGCACTATCGACCAAGCCGCCATGGCTACAACCTAGTAAGCTTATCCCGATTTCGATAAGATCCGGTGTAACACATCGAAGTTGCGAGAAATTCGTTTCAAGGGACTGTTCGTTGTGACGTCTCACAATGTGCTCCTGCCTGTTCTTCTTACGGCCCCGTGCCAAGTTGGTTTTAATGCGGTACACATCTTCACCCTGGTATACATGCTTCCCAAAGTCTGTAACCGAACGCTTCACTTAGATTAACATTAACAATGATGCCGCACCTAGGCTCGCGCATGATTAGAATGTCAGCGCGCCCAAATGTATAGGACATACCAAGGGGTCAGTGGGAATTTTTCCTGCTCCAATCTCGTTTTGAATACCTTCACGTCGCGCTGATCAGAACTCTGTCGCAATACAAAGGCTGCATCTACATTCTCAACTATGTGGACAGATTAACATGTTGGACAGCAATGGTTCCTAGAACTAACTGCACATCGGATAGCTAAATTCTGCTCGCTTGGTGTGGTTCTGTCCGAAGGAAACGCCAGTTGTGGAATAGCATCAAAGCACTGGAGACTCGAGGGTTGCTGGCTGTTCATCAACATTGGCTCCGCGGTTTGATTTTCCCAATTCCGTCGCCAGGCCAGTCTGCTCCGTGAGTCATTCAGTGCATAGAAGTATTTTCGCGCTTCTTTTGCCAAAGCATGATAAGAGACAACCCAGATATTCCAGTACGAGCGACAGTCCACAATGTAACCATCCCAGCTTTAAAAATGACAAGGTGATCTACTTGAGTCCATTGCTGGCCAGCCAGAGGGAGATGCCAAGTAGCACTTTGGCACCCAATGTGTCAAAAAGCAGTGTTAATAAGAAACAGTCGGTGCTCTGCGCACAATTGCGACGAACGCTCGCCGTTATTCGTCTGAACAAAGTTAAACCCATACTCACTACCAAGCTTGGCTTCTGAAATGCCCAGACGAGCTATTTGCGCATTCATATCCCTTGCAACAACAACGCGACTTTAACTTGTAACACTGAAACAAAATGTTAAGCTTGCGGTAGAGGGAGTCCTCTGCAGCATCAGAAACACAGCGGAAACCACAAACAACAAGTATATCGCACTAGTTCGTGAACCAAACACAGTTGAAGTCGTCAAGCGGAGTGCACATAAACGGCTACTCACGAGGATTCAAAAAACCAACGACGATTCGGTCTTGAAGCTGAGAACAATGCCCACCCCAGCTTGACCAGTGATTGCCACATAAGCATCATCATCATCATCATTAACAGCAGTACATCAGCCATTTGAACTGATGCTTCGCTGCCATACAACCATGAGGACCTGTGAAATAGAAAATAAGAGGTAGAGGAGGACTTACCAGAAAACCTTAATGCCCTAAGCAAACATTCAGGGTCAAGGCGCCTACACCTTGGGTAGACAACATACCGTCACAAACAGCTGGCTATCGTGCAAAGATAAGGCGGCATCAGCGAGACAGCTTCCTTACGGCTTTCACTGCCACGCGTCATAATAAGCCATTACCCAGCAGATAACTCAGCACCAAACACATTGTAAACAGACAATCCGATTAGAAGACGGCAGCAGACGCGCCACTGGTGTCTACTGTGAGCCATGTCCTGTAATGTCTCGAGCCAAGCACAAGGTGAGTCACGTGGACTTTAACCCGGAAGGCGAGACGGACCAACGGCACCCAGTTTGGTCGTCAGTGACTTCATTTCCCGCTGCCAAGTCAACTTCTGTCCACCTCGAGCCTTGCGCCACCCTACACTTGGCAGACTAAACAAGGCCCTCCTAGGTAAGCGGTGACCAAGCATACGTAGCACGTGACCGAGCCAACGCAACTTATTCAGTGCTATCTGTTGTTCTAGAGAGCAAGCGTGATTATCACTTCCTAGTACTCGCCTACGCACATCGTCGTTGCGGACACGCTGGTGCCATCCGACTCCAGCAATGCTGCGCAAACAACGATGATCAAAGACTTGAAGGCGCCTCAGATCTTCAGACCGAAGCGGCCAAGTCTCACTACCATAGAGCAGAACCGCCCTCACTGTGGCCTGGTATACACGGCCTTTCAGACGAAGGAAAACTCCCTTCTGTCGCCAAAGATGTCGCAGGTTTAAGAAGGTAGCTCTGGCTTTTGCAATGCGTGAGCTGACTTCAGTTTCTATGCGCCCATCTTTGCTGATGCAGCTGCCAAGATAAGTGAATTGATCAATCACCTCGAGTTCCTCGCTAGCAAGCGTCAAGGGGTCATCAAGTGGCTGGTGGTCCTGCAGCAACACATTGCAGTTTGAAGGTGCTAAGTGCATACCAAATAATGGGACCACTCTGGACAGGCTATTCAGGGTTGATTGTGCCGCCCCAACATCGTCGAAGAGCAAGACGATATCGTCCGCATAATCTAAATCAACTAACCTTTCACCAGGCAGCACTTCAACGCCTACATCGTGAGATTCCCCAAGGGAACACTCCATGATGGAATCCACAACGAAATTGAACAAAAATGGGGAAATCAGACAACCCTGACGAACGCAAGTTGTGGTTGGAAAGCTATCCGATAGGACACCATAGACCCTGACGCGGCCTGTAATGTTCGAGTATAGAGCACGAAAGATGTTCACATTTTTTGTGGGAACACCTTTCCGCGCAAGTATTTCGAACAGAATCGATCGATCGAACGAATCGAACGCACTCTTGAAATCGAGGAACACAGCTATTGTCGGTCTGCGGCTTGCGTGGCGCTGCTCTAGCACCTGCCGCAAAGTGAATATATGGTCTATACAGCCACGTCCTGGGCGGAAACCGGCCTGCTCTTCCCTAATCCGAGATTCCCATTCCGCAGTGATGCGACGAACGAGAATCGAGGCCAGTAATTTTGTCAAAACTGGCGTTAGGCTAATACCCCTGTGGTTAGCACAGTCTGTGCGACTGCCCTTCTTGTATATTGCCACTTTAATCGATTCGCTACAATTAGCCGGGACACACTCTTCCTTCCAGATACATTCGAATAGTGAGGTCAGTGCTTTGCAGAGGACCTCCCATCCATCCTTAAATAGTGCAGGTGGGAGGGAATCCGGGCCAGTGGACAGAAAACGATTGAGGGCTGTGATCGCGTTTCGGACCTCGGCCACTGACGGAGACTCTAAACTAATCGTCCATGGCTCGTCGTGCATCACCTGATTAGGAAGAGGTCCGGGAGCAGGGGGCCAGCTGAACTGATCTTGAAAGTGTTCCGCCCAACGAGCCATACGGCGTTCCTTATTGTGTATTTGCGCACCCACGCTGTCTCTTATTGTCTCACTGACCCCTGGTTTTATGGCGCCGGTGGTGCGGATCAGCTGAAAGAGCTTGCGGTAATTGCCTATTGCTCCTGCCTCCTCCATTTCTTGAGCCCTACTGGTCCACCAGGATTCTTTGTCAGCACGTAGGCTACGCTTTAGTTCCCGCCTAATAGCCCGTCTGGTCACACTGCGTTCAGAGCCAGCCGGGAGGTGTCTTCTACATTCCAACAGGTTCACCGACCTCTCGGATATCCAGTGACTGGTGCGGTGACGATTGATGGTGCCACAAACAGATGCTCCTGCGTCGAGCATGGCGGCCGAGATCCTTTTCCACTGAAGCTTAGTGTCATTAGGACAGGGCAGCGGAAGTTCGATACGCAGTGCATCTTGATAGGCTTACCTGACCGAGGTCTGAGACAATTTCTCAGCTTTTAATTGAAGGAGACGCTTGGTTTCCTCCCGGTATAGTTCATGGACGAAAGAGCGTACCAAGGCATGGTCAGAGTCGACTCATGTACTCTAGTATGAGCGGAAATCCAGGATGGAACCACGCCATCTGTAACTTATGGCTATGTGGTCAATTTGGGTCCATCGTTGGCCAGCTACAGGAGGACGCCAAGTGGCACTTCGGCGCCCACTGTGTCTAAAAGCAGTGCTACTAAGAGACGACTGGTGCTCCCCACACTGTTGCAGCAGAGGCTCCCCGTTGTCAGTCCGTTCGGAGTTAAGCGCATAATTAACACCCAGCTGAGCTTCTGAAGAACTCAGACGTCCTATTTGTGCGTTCATATCCCCTGCAAGTACCATAATATCTGAACTAGTAGCACTACGTAGTAGCGCGTTCAGCTCGTGGTAGAATGTGTATTTGAGAACATCTGAAATGCAGTCGGTGGGAGCATAAGCGGAAATCACAAGCAAACGGCGTTGTACTACTTCGTGAATTCACCCTAGCTGATGTCGTAAAACGGACTGCACATAAACGGCTGTTCACCGGAATCCAATCAACCAACTTCGGCTCAGCCATGGAGCTTATACTGATACCTACACCAGCTTGACCAGTGAGTGCTGCATCGGCGTCTTCGGATGCGTACAACCAATAACAAGAGGATAA